GACAATTACGAACATCTGAAACATTTCCACAAACGTCTTTGATATTCTTTGTGGCTACAGAGTCATTGTTTCCCTTCTTGTATTCAAACAGCATTACATGCCAAATGTGTGTCTCATTGTGTGCCATCACTATAAGGGACTAGAGTATACAAAACTTTACACATTTTATAGGCTACACTAACGTGATGTTTAGGTGGTTCATTAAATTATTATACATGATGTATGTTTTTGGGGGATGGTTAATGAAAGTGTTCAAAAATGGGACATTGATTTCTTGATGACCTAATACATAGCTAACTTGGTTTATTTTATATTATGCTATGGATTACACCTCTCAGAATAAATTGCACTTGTGCACATCCTTCTATTCCACCAATATCAGATTGATTTCCTACTTCAAGGGTGAAGAGCTCACAAGTGTGCTTTGTTTTCATTTTGGAGCACACCTGTTCATTCTTGGCAGTCACTTTCCACTTGATTTCAATTCTGTATGCCTATATCAGCCCCTCCACCTTTGCAATGTGGAATTTTAGCTTTGTGTGAGGGGAGGTAAGACTGTATCGGAAGTTAATATTTTTTCTTACACTGAAAATGTATTTCTGATAGGTATTTACATTGTCACACACACACACACACACTTCCCACCATTCTTCCTCACTGCCAGTGTTCTGCCTGCCAATACTCGAAAGTGAGGATTGAACAGGAATAACAGAGGTAGCTAGCTGTGCCATGATAGTTGGCACAATACTAGTGGTGGAGAGTAGTCACATGATATGTCCATGTTCAAAAATGGTGCAGAATTGATGGGGTGTATAGACTAGTGCACTGAGTGCACAAATTTTTAGCAATGCTTAGAGGTCAGAAAGAAGATGAAAATAGCTTTGTATTAGAAGAGATAAGTTCCTAATGGAAATACATTTGCAATGTAAGAAAAATTTTAACTTTTCTCATACTACAAATCCCTATTTTGACTCTACCAAATGTAATTCTAGATAATAGCATAAAACCAAAATAGGGGTTTGTAGTTTGAGAAGTAACGTCTACAGTGTCTATAGCCTTGTTTCCTTACATTTTTTAAGATCCCTATTTGCAGGTTTGTAACTTCACAATTTTTTATTTAATGTATCTTGTATTATTTGTACTTCATGAACAATTATAGTTGATACTAGTGACCTCTTTCCAATTAATATAAATGGTTTCTGTGCAAACACTTTCTTTTCTTAGGAAGTATATTTAATGAAATTTATTTTTCTTTAAAAACATAGAAAATTCTCAGGTGTTTTATCAGATGAAACATTATTCAGTATTGTTTAATTAAGTATTACTAACCCACTGATAAGTTTTACATACTTTCTGAATATATTTATTTCATTTTGTAAAAACAAATTGAAATATCAAGTGCATCAGAAAACCTTATATAACAAGAGGTGTCCTAAAATCATTAAAACTAGGTATGCCTTTTTTAGCAACAGCTTTTGAACATTAGCCTTCAGTTATTTACCTCAATGTAATGTACTGAAAGTATTGGAATTAGTAGAATAAATTTATTAAAATATGATATTGTGACAGTTATTTACCAAACAAAATGTAAGCTTGTAAAATTTTTAAGAAACAACTTAAAATGTACTGTATCAACTAATAGTCTGTTGGCTTTGTGGAAATCACCCATTAAATATTTATTAAACATATTGCTTGCACATACTAATTTTATTATATACATTGTAAAATAATTAAGCCAGGTGATATCAGCTTTAGCATGATTTTTGTAAAAAAAATAATTAAATATATATATATATATATATATTTAGATCAATGAATGCCATTTTGGAAACATGAGAAGTAACACTTATAAGACACAAAATGGGCTTACCTCATTTTAAAGCTATTCATTTGCAAGTGTTTGGCTCTTGCTATTAATATAGTTTTAATGTGGTTGAACTTCTCTAGAATGAATTTGAACATTTCATATTTTTGTATTCATATTTCAACCTTCCTAATTTTTATATAAATTTATGAGTGAAGCCCTTGAGAAACATTTCTGTCTCTTTCTCTGCAGTCAAGATACAATAACTAGTTTATTAAAGTTTTTCAGGCAAATATGTCATTAATAGTTCTTTATACTACACTCTCATACTCCATTACTAGATTATGAGTATAAGATAGCTTCTTGTGCAGAAAATATGTTTGTGCTAGGAGCCCCCCAAAATATTTGTAGGTAATTCTTCTGGGGTTTTTTCAGTCAGAAGCACTCCAATATATCAATAAATTTGCTATAGCTAGATATTTTTGTGATAAGATGACAGAAGGAATATATGTAGTATTTCACAGGATTAATTGTTTCTAATTTGTGGAAGAGTAATGCTAAATTTATAGTACATGTGTTGAGTATCCTTGATTCACTAACACAGTAATTTAATACAACACTTTTAACAGTGATTAAGGAAAAAGTATTCTTCTAGGTCATAAAAAAAATCGGGAGTTTTACATTTGGGCAAGAAAATTTATCTCCCTAAATTTTCCCAGTGATCAGGAAAAGTTAGGAAATTTCCAAAATGATTGGTTTTGTGCTATTACAGTAGTTCTTGAATATCAAATATATAAAATGTGTATGATTTCTATATTTGTATGATGATGTATTCTTAAAATATTAAAGTTATCTCTGTGGTATATTTGAAGGGTAGGTCAGTTGAATGAATGGAAGAAAAAGAATGAATATGGGGGGTTGATGAGAGGCCATTAAAATCATGTTTTTGTCATGTTTTGGCCAGGGAAAATGACAGGGAATTTTATTTGGCCTTGTAATTTGGAACCCTGTACAAATACATCTTAATGCATCTAGTCTGTTTTTAAATATACTGGTGAAAAAATTGATCATTATTAACAGCTGTTTAATAGTAAAATATGTTTCTTTGTTGTACGAACAGCACCAATATGATGTTTAGCAAAATCTGGTTTAAAGGTGGCAGATTGTAGAGTTTAAGGTACTAAAAAAATTTGAAAGGCAAAATTATTTTTGTGTGTGTGTGTATATATGTACGTTTAAAGAGTATAATATTTATACAGATCTCATTACAAGAGTTTACACTTTTAAAATTGATTGTAAATTGCAACTCTAGTATGAAATTATGAAAGCAATCTATACATGTACTTTTTATCACAAAGATCAATAAGCATGGTTCTAAATGAAGTTATTAACTTATAATTGTACAAAAGTAAAAGATTGTAAATGGTTTTTATTTTTCCATAGAAACAAAAAGTAGATATGTTTTATGTTAATTTCAAAAATTTTTTTAAGTCCTTACTTCCAAAACATACATACCTCCGCTGATACTTATAGCTATTTATCGATCTCCATCTTTGCCATCTAACATTGTGTTTGCTTGCTCCAGTTATTATATACCCCACCTGACTGCCCTCAGCAATATTTAATTTCATGGGTATGTAGAATTATCCATGCTCACTTGGTTGGGGAATGAAGATGACTGTTTGTAAATTCAGACCAGATGAGTTCTGGACTGTCAATCCAGGCCTGGGATGTTGTCTTTTGGACTTCTTCAGGTTGATCAGAAGGATTGTCCACTTTGGTGTTGCTTTCTTTCTCATAAATCCGATATGTATATAATTGTAAATATGTATATAAATATAAATATGTATATAATTCCGGTCCAACTTCCCTGGTCACCAATGTGGGATTTGGGTACCATGACCCCTTAAATCTAGCCCGAGACGTGGAACCACAGCTGTGTGGTTGGGGCTGGCCTGTCATACTTGTGTCATATTTCACCCTTTTTACTTTTCTGTAGTTCTGGGTGAAAAGCATTCCTGTTCTGGATGTAGTGCGGTGTTCCCCACTTTGGTACCACTTTTCATGGTACACCTTTGTTCTCTGCAGATGCTTTCTGTATGATCTATGCCCTCACTGGCCCCTCCGTCTTCTTAGTGTGGGATTCTAGCTACACGTGTCAGGAGAGGTATGTATGTTTTGGAAGTTATCATTTTCCTAATCTGAAAATGTATTTCCAGACATACCTCCGCTGACACACACTCCCTCCCTTCCTCTCCACCAAGAGCTGGTGTTAGTGACTGGGATAGGGTAAGTCTCGAAAAAATTATCATATTGTCTACATACAGTGCTTATATACAGTACCTGTATAGAGAGCGTGTGAGGGCCTATGTAAAGTTTCGCGAATTAGATATTGCCGAGGGCTATTGAGTGGGGTATATAAAGACTGGATCAAGCAAACACAATGTTAGATGGCAAAGATGGAGATCAAGAAATAGCTATAAGCGTCAGCATAGGTAGGTATGTTTGAAAATACATTTTCAGATTAAGAAAATGATAACTTTCATAATGCTGTTTTAACAATGAAAGCTGTGATTGTTAACTTAGTAGGTAAGCATAATCATTAAATGTAGTGTGTTAATAATAATTGCTGAAACGTATGATTTGTTGTAATGTAACTTTATATTGTTTTATTATGAATCTTGTTGATCATATTAAATTATATGGATTTTAGTAGTGTTATATTTTTCTTGCAAAATATATATTTTCATTTATTTATGAAAGTTACAAACAGTTTGATTTTTTACATTACATTGCAAGCACCTCAGTTTCTGTAATGGGATATTTATTTTTATCAGGATGTTTTTAAAATGGCTGGAATATCATACACAGACTTTATTAGAACAACAGAAGAAAGGCATGTCAAAGTAGTACAACATTTTTGGGTGAGTATTCTTCATCATTACATGTAATGACTAACACCTAGAAAATTTAAAATTACTGCAAATGTTTCTGAAGATTCTTCAGTAATAATTATTAAGAACAAAACATATTTTAGAACATCATTTTCTTGATTTGTTTTTTAGATGTGGTTACTAATGTAACTTATCACATTTGATGGCATTATAGTAAATTTTATATAACAGTGGTTGAAATAAGAACTTGCTGGTCACTGGAACCAAACTAAAATGATTTAAATAAATGGTAAGTTTTGTTATTTCATTAACATGCTTAAATACATAAGTTATTCACCACCTGAGTTATTAGCATTGAAGTAATGTTAACCCTATTGCTATGGACAGGTCATGACTTTTTTAAAGAGTTGCATTCAAATTTAATTGAACTACTTTATTATGGTATGCAAATGAACTTGGCTTAAAAACATAGATAATAAATCAAATGTTGATATTATATTATATTTTACTTGCTTAATTTTATAACGAAATATTTTTAAAAATCCTCAGTCTCACCCTAGTATGAGAATTGTGACATTTGCTTTATAGGGATTCCCTCTTCTCTAATTTATTTACCACCCCTCTGAGAATCCCTGTTGCATAACTTAACTTTGCCTCCCATTCCTACCACACCCCTCTTGTCCCATTCTTCTCCCTTGTCAGTTTTGGCCTTCCAAATGCCTGAAGTTTGCTGTTGGTCCTTGAGGTGCCGTTTTTGGGGCAACTGGCAGTCTTGGTGATTACGAGGTGTTTGGACCTGGTGGGGGCTAGGCTCATTCCCCCTTGGTGGGACAATGTTATGTCTATGGGCTTCCAATGCTAGGGTTTAGGATTCAATTCCTTACAGTGGACACAGCAGGTGCCCCAATTTGACTTTGCTCTACAATATACAAACATTCATACTATATCAGATATGGTACAATAACATTTTAACCAGCTGTGCCCAAGTTCGGAAATAATTTGGTACAGATCCCTGGATTCTGAGGTGATCACAGTTAGTTTGGTCCTTTTTTGATCCTCCCTCCTCCTTGGGTTCCCATTTCTTGCAAGAATATTAAAGAGGCAGTTTGGGATTTGCTTTGCAGGAATGCCATTGAATGGAGAGATCCCTATACTTAGAGTTTTTTATTTCATTCTGTTTGTTGGCCCCTAGAAGTTAGGAGACTGGTGCTCTATCATTACTCGTTTGGCTCTGAATCATTTATTGGTCCTCCCAGATTTCATCATGGAATTGTAATTATCTCTTTGTTGAATTTCCCCTCCTTGTTTGTTGAGGACGAAGGTTGTTGTGTCAGATGCATTCCTACACATTAACTTTTACCTTGAATCCTGACTTTCTTCATTGGGTCCATAAGGGTTGTATGTTTCATTCAAGACTCTTTCATTGGAACTCTCCTTCGCTCCTTACAATTTTGTCAGATGTTCCTGGTGTTGTTTGTTTCGTTCCTTTCCAGGGGCCATCGTTTCCACCATTGCATGGATGTCTGGCTTCTTCACAGGCTGACCCTGCCTTTCTTACTCATTTTCTTCTTAGAGTAGCAGCTCGGGTTGGTTGATTGGTGAAGATAGAAACATTTTTCCTCACCCCCATACAATACCTAGTTCATCCTGGGGTGTTGTTTAATTCCCTACACAGTTTGGCCCAATCTTCTTTTTATTTTTGGTTTAGGGCTATGGAGTTTCAAGCTTGCAGCCTCTCCTCCCCTTATTGTGTAAGAGGTTCTCTCCTTTTGAGACACAGGCTTCTCTGGAAGCCCTCATCTATCTTGGTCATGTCCACATGTGTTGCTTTCATTGGGTTTGTTGGTTCAGAGGAGCCTTGTTTGGGATCCCTTAGGTGCCCCTTTTATCCTTCCTCCTTCCTTCAACACTGACTTCACCTGGTGGTTGAAATGGGACAATACCTGTTTAAGTGTTTCTCTTCCTCCTCCGCATCCTGTGTGTCACCTTTTTCTGGATGTTTCCCTTTATGGTTGGGGGAATTTTCTGGTTGCTTAGGAGTCAGGGGTGGTGGCCTCTCTCAGGGTACTCTCTCCTTTTTCATCCTTGGGAGGTTCTAGCAGATTGTTAGTCTCTGGTTCACTTCCTCCTGATCCTACAGAGATAGTTGGTGATAGTGTTTTCCGACTACTCATCTGTAGTCTTGTGCATCTTCAGGCTAGAGAGCAAATGTTAAGAGACCTCTGTTTTAGGACACTGGTCCTCCATGTGTTGTGCCACAGCCATCAGTTTCTTGTGTTTGATTGTCATATTCCAGGTTCCCTGTATCTTGTCATGAATCATTTATCACATCCCAATAGGATTCTCCTTACAGAGTGTTCTTTGGACTCATGGATGTTTCGCGGGCTCTGTACCCAGTGGAGTGTTTTGGATCTGGATGCCTTTTTCACTCATCTAAGTTCTTAGCTTCCCTGGTTTTGGTCTCCTATTTTACATCCTTTGACTGGAGCATTGGTTGATCTCAGTCTGGATTGGATGGGTTTTTAGCTATTTTTGCCTACCATCTCATTTGTCTGCTTTCCCAGGTCCTTTCCATCATCCAGACCATTCTGTGTTGGGTTCTGTTGGTGGCTCCAATTTGGATGGCTATGCTGGGGTTTTCAATTGGGTGGCATCTACTCATGTCATCTCCTCTCTCTATCCTTCCTACATCTCAGCCCATGGTGGGTCAACTGTCTGTTCCCATTGTCCATCTTAACGAGTGGCTTTTGTGCAGTCCCTGGTCTGGTGGAACAGTTATTTTCATGGGGTGTGGCATCTTTTTCCCATTCCATTTATTTTTCCTCCATAGGTTGGGTACCAAAGGACTGTTTCACTTTTCTAATGTGGGTTTTCATCCAATACTTTGGCAGCTTGGGTGGATATTTCTGCCTTCACACCCATCTCCCTTCCTTCCATGCTACACTTGTGTCATTCCAATCATATTTGCATACTCTGCACAGTTAGGGCTCTCCCATGTTACAGGGCAAACATGGATTCTTTTGTGGTAAACCACTCCCACTTGTTTATTCCTTGGAATCCCTCCGGTCCTGTGTCCAATTACTATTATGGGTAGGATGTTCATTTGCCTGATTTGTTCTTCCATTTCTTCAGAGTATTTTCCTCTTTTCCGTGAACTTCCCATTATATTCATCACCTTGTCATGTCCCTGGCTGCACATTTTCATCATCTGTTGTATGACTTTGTTGGTGCCAGTATGTGGACCACTCCACATATATTTACTGCTCATTATCTTCACAATCTAGCAGTTTCTTGTTTTGATGGGTTTCATCTTCCTCCAGTTGCCAGTTTGAGCTACACGTTTTATCTTTGAGGGGGTAAGTGCTCCTTTTATCTTCTCTTCTTAATAGGGGCCTTTGTTTTTGGATACTGCTCAGTGGTGAGTGTTGTATGACCAGGTAAACTTAGTCTTAAATCTGCACTGTAAGACCTTTGTATCAAGTACACCCACCGTTGGGATGGGGTGTTCCACAAGACTGCTTGTAGGTATGATATTTTGCCCATAAAGATGTTTGCCCTGTACTGTACACTCCACGGAGTAACATGATTAAAGCAGACAGTGTCCATGATCCATTTTTTATAGATTACTGGATCGGTTTGCTTTTCAATATAAGATAATGCATCACCAATTACACTGTCTCTGGTGCTGCATTCCTCCAGACTCTCCAGTGTACTGTTTCCCACCTTCTTGTAGTGGGGTACGGTGATCCTTGCCATTTACTAGTTCCTAGCTGCTTGTGTTGTGGACCATGGAGGTATCCTCCTGAATGTACTAATTACCACTCACTTGAGAGTAGGGTGGTGGCATTTTGTTGGTATAGATGCCATTGACACTCTCCAACTGCTGACCTGATGTACAATTCCAGGCATTGCCAAGTGATGGATGATGCACTCTGCCAAATTTGCTTCTCCAGCTGATGCACTTTTCTGCTTACTGTCCCCTGGATATCAGTTCCTAGCAGATATGGTGATGGTTGGAGCTGGAACAGCTATATAAGTCCTCACATGTGTGTGGCAAGGTACCCTCCTCCTGCTGCAGAGAGAACAATACTTTCCCAATGCTGCCTAGTGATGAACTGGAGATGCACCCCACTTTGTTGTCCCTTGTCCTACCATTCCCCGAGATCTGTTCCTGGCAGATATGGCAGTGGTTGTAGGAAGACCAGCCACATGAGTACTCACATGTATGTGGCTAGGTACTCTCTTCCTACCATGACCTTGACAATAAATTCCCAATGCTGCCTGGTGATGGACTGTAGATGCACCTTCACCTTGGCTCTCCACCTTCCCTACCATCTCCTGGATGTCAGTTCCTGGAAGATATGGTTATGGTTGTGCTGGAGGTGTGCACATGCTGAGGTCGGTACTTGGTGTAGAGGCTCCTCTTCTCTGCCAGTACTCTTATCTGAGGTGAACAGTTAATTATGGTCTGACGCACCCTAGCCACTCTACACCAAGAAGGTCCCTTCCTTTCTTTAACTTTTTACTTTGTTTCCACCCTCTTGCTGACACATTCATAAAGGGCGAAAAGTATACCTAGCTTAAAAGTGATGCAGTCTCCCATGGGTGTATTCTTTTTAGTTTATTCTCACACCCCAGTTTTTTTCATCAGCCCTCCATCTGTTCAATGTGGGATTCTATTTTTTTGTGAGAGGAAGTAAGATATTGTATCGGAAATTAACATTTTCCAAAACTGAAAATGTATTTCCGATAGATACTTATCTCCTCTCACATTTCCCACTCATTCTCTCCATTTCCAATGTAGTTTGATCTGCCCAATCTCAAAGTGATTACGGGCTGCAAGGATTGAGAGGGTGCTAGTTACAATAGGCATAGTGTTTGACTCCTATTGTTGAAGAGTTGCTGCATGATCATTTGCATATTAACATGCAGATGTCTCATGTTAATATACATGAGGGTAGGTGGGAGTATCAAGGCTAGTGCCGAGCAAAAATTTCCAAAAATTGTGAGATGAGGTAAGTATCTATCGGAAATACATTTTCAGTTTAGGAAAATGTTAATGTTTGATCTATTGCTTATCAAATCATCTCCACTGAGGAATTGCATCATATCCATTGCTTTCTTACTTGTCTGATATAAAATTATTCCATACTTTTTCCCTCAATGAAGTTACAAGTGATCTCAATAACTACACACGAGTGGTTCAACTTCTTATATTCTTAAGACTTGTTTTTAGCATAATTCTGAGAACAGTTTCAGTGCATGAATTTAAGATTACTGTCCAACTGATGTCATTGTGGTTGAATTTTATGAATGTATATATATATACATCAGTACATGTATATAGACTTTGTGTGCCACAAATGTGTTCAGATTAGGTAGATCTAAAGACTAGGATACATTGTACACTGGGAGTTCTGTATATTTATGTATATATATGGCTTGATAAATATATTTAAGTGATAAGGGCTGGCTTTGGGTGTTTTTATTTTAGAGTTTAGTATAGTGGATGTCACAGCCTAGATGGACTAACAGGCCTCTTACTGTTTTTACATTATATGTATATATAAAGTATATATGTTCTTGAGGTTACAGGCGATCTATGTACGTTACTTACTCACAAACTATCATAGGCCAATATATTGAACTTAGATCAAAACTCTGCTTTAGTAGTTGAAAAACAAGTAATAGTTAACTTTGTTAATTAACAATAGCTTGGCTGAGGTATAGATTACATTTTATTTCTTTAAGTTTAGTGAGAACTGCACTTACCAATGATATTGCCAAGTCTGAAAGAATCAAACATTCAACAATATACAAATAGTCTTGAAAAATCCATTATATATGTTTCAAGCACATTTTCTTCCAAAATATTTATAGCAATAATTATTTATAATAATAGTATAATTCAGTTAGTATTGTTTTTCTTGCTGTTATGCATAAAAATATTAGCCCTACAGCAGTCATTCTGTGTAGGTTTTATGCAATGAGGCTAGAAATCAACGACCTTTACCTGGAGAGTAAAGACTTTTTTTTTCTAAGTTTCTTGTAAAAATTTCTAATTCCCTCCAGTATGCACCACAAAATCTGCAAAACAAAATATCTATGCAGTGAAGTAGAAAGAGACCATCTAGACAATATTAGTTTACCTTTTACTTATTATTAAGTTAATATAATTATCAAGCTGAATAAGCTGTTTGCACATTCCTGCATTAATTTATAATATTTTAATTGATTACAAATGAATTAGTGGGGAATAATTTGTTACTGCTACTGTTGGATACACGACCAAGAAAGTATGTTTTTGAGCTTTTATTTATTGTAGGAGCAGTCAACATTTTAATACTTAATTCTAATATTTAAGAACTTTAAAGAGATACAAGTATTATTAACAATATTGTTTCAATGATTCAAAGAAATGAGGATTACCAGACCCAATAAATACTTTCCCCAATTATCCACCTTCTTATGCTAAAATGTTCTCTATTTTAAGAAAAAGGCCCCTTCCTCAAACCTATAGATTAGTTACTGTATATGTGTATGTGTATTTATGCTATGGGTCATCACTCTTATGATAAGGTTTAAGTGCATCACATTACCACCTGTTAGTGATATTTTAGGTCTAACTATTGTTAACCCTCACCTCAATTGTTGTACAACACTAGTTCATCAATATTTTAACAAGAGGATGGATTTGTTTGGTTTTTATGCATAGTCCTTTACTTGCCACTAACAACCAAAAATACTTTAGGTGTTTGGATAAAATTACATAACATAAGAATTAATTATCCATTATTACATTTGACAACTATATGTGGCCTACTTTATTTATTTGCTTCACACTTCCAAGATGCACTGATGACTTGTGAATTCTGTGAAACTAGTCTGGTGTTGTGGAAGTAGGGAATTAAAGAATAGATTGGGCTTCTGCATCATAGGTTCTTCATTGATATTAACTTTTTTTGGTGAAAAAAAAATGAAATTAACATCTAAATGAATAATCAGTTAGTCTTCTGATTAGTAATAGATAATTAATTGTGATGGTATGCCACATGTTATCTAAACATCTAACGGATTTTAAGTTATTAATGGTGAGTAAAGGACTATACATCAAAACCAAAAACATTGTTTACATACCACCACCATATGAGGCCTGTTTTATTTACTTGCTTCACTCTTCCAAGCAGCACTTGATGAGCTGTGAATTCAATGAAACTAAATAATCAATTTGGAGGATGAATTTGTTAAATGACTTAGCCCCATTCTAAGTCCTTAATTTTATGTAATATCTATTATACCATAAAATTGAGGATTCTAACTTCTCTCTCTCATCAGAACTATTGTTTTTCAATAAGAAAAGATAATTTCTCTTCTTTTTATTCCATGTGGTGCTTTAGGCTTTTCAAGTGTTTTTTTTTACAAGTTTCCTTATTAAAACTTTATATATACTCGTATGTGTGTGTGTACATGTATAAACTAATATAGTGAAAAAGTCAGTTGTTACATCAGTTTCCACAACTTTTTTAAAAAGAATTGACTGGTCTGTTTTGCAGTAATCTACTTTAGGTGAAACTTCACTTTTTTATACCATATCCAGTAACTTTGGTTAAACTTGTTTTGCCCTTTGGCAAATTATAAATTGTCTTTGTATTTATATTTTCTAGTTTGTAGCTACTGGCTTGTAAAATCTTTGTCAAGAAATGAACTGAAATATTTATTACTTGCTAGTGTCACCTGCCATAGAGTAATATGTTCATTTTGCTTCTAACAAGGAACTACTAACTAATGTCTATAATCTTTGACATATAATTTGTTTAATGCTTTTTGCTACACCTAAATGATTTTATACTGGCTATATTATCTTCAGGAACACTAAGGGGAGACCATTGTTAGTTCCTCTCGATGAACTGTAGCAACTAGAAGATGTCAAAAGTAGCCAGTTGAGCTTCCTATAATGCGTGGCCAGTTGTTTGCCAGATACCTGTCAGTACAGATATCTGACAGTAGGCTGCTTATCAAATGAGATCTGCCATTGCATTTTTTCTCAGTTTACTTGGCTAGATCTTAGTACTGGCAAACTAAACATTCCTTAATAATTTGATATATCTTATGTCTATTTGTAAGACACTGTTCTCCAGTGTACGTTTTTAAGTGGATGATCCTGGAAATCTTATTTTTATAACTATAATTTTGTAATTATAGGCCATCTATAATTTAAAGTTGTTTTTGTAATTTAATTTTAGTGAGAAGCTTCTCCTTAAATGGACCTGGAATAATGGGTTAATCCAACTACTAGGCTGTGGTACACTGTTATTTTTAATATCTGGAATAAAAAGTTTAATCCACTGTTACTAGGCAGTTGTACGCTGCTATATCTTGGACCTGGAATAATAGGTTAATCTCACTTTCACTAGGCATTTGTACACTGTTATTTCTTGTACCTGGAATAATAAGCTTAGTCACACTGTTACTAGGCGATTGTACACTTTTATCTCTCTTAGACCTGGAATAATGAGTTTAATCCCACTATTAGTAGTATTGCACATCCATCCATATATAGACTGTTGGGGTACGTTAATACTGGTAATTCAATAAAAGTAGATTTGCAAGACAGAAAAGATTGTTCAGTTTTTGTTACCACATAAAATGAATGTCCTTTATAATTAACTGAGATAGTTGATCTTCTACTGATAAGGATGGCAATAAGACATTTGTGTTGGAAAGCAAATAGTATAAAGTGGCATTATTTAAGCAGCCACATCTCATTATACCTTAAATAATACGTAGCAGTTGTGGCTGTTATAATTTGGTATGAAAATTCTCATTGAATTTGATTTAAGAACATTTTATTGACTACAAACACAATAATGTAAATGATGTAAATAAAACAGTGATACTGTTGTAGTCCTTTGTATGTCATTCAGTCATAAGAGAAGTATTCTAAAAACTTGACTAGCATTATACGTATTTATCAACAGCATGTACAAACCAAGCAGAAACATTGATTTGTAGAATTGAAAATAACAGAGAAATATGATTTTAAAGAAGAAGTTAAGTATAAGATTGACAGTGCTAGAAGTACTTTTCAGAATCTGTTTGCAATGATTTGGTTTACATTTAGTTGCAATTTGTTGGTGTCATACACAGATACAGGTAGCTGTACAGAGTTTCTGACAAGTGCACAAATCCCAGATTTATTTCTATCTGTGTTGTAATTTGATATGAAGTATCATCTCCTCTTAATAATCAAGGCCAGGAATATCAAATATTATGGATGTATTTTTTAGGAAGGAAGACAGCATGCTGTTAAAAGTGATCATTAAGGGTACTGTTTCAGAGAAGTGTTCCTGTAAAAAGCAGAAGGCTTTGTAGAAAGGCAACTTCAGCATTTGACTGTGAAATTACCACATACAGACTGAGAATTATTGGAGATAGTTATTTTTAGATTATTGCTTGAAAATTTAAAGGATATATTGGTCTTATTTTGCACTTTATTATATGTGTAATTTTAGTATTGCAGCTTATAAGTAGCTAGATAATTTTAAATATAACTACCAACTAATGTTGGTTTGAGTTTGAGTAAAATACCAAGAAATTATAAATTATCTTTACTTAACATAACTGAAAAATAATTGCTTGTATGAGTGGTAAAATTAAATATGTTATTGAGGCAAGTTGCATGTGGAAAAGTGTCATCAAAATTTTCTGGTAAGGCCATATCAGGGAGTAGGAAAAAGTTTTATTTGTGTTTTATAATGTACTAAACTCCTTTGTGCCTTAAATAGTTTTTATTTTATTTTTAGCAACATTTAGACAATCGAGGATTTATTTATAAAGATAGATATCAAGGCTGGTACTGTTCATCGGAGGAATCATTTCTCCCAACTTCTCAATTAAAAGAAGATTTAGGAAAAATGGTAAGAAACTTGTTTTTAAATTGGGATTAATATAGTATAGGAAGATAGCTTTCTGCACTGACTGTAAATTTAATTTCTTTTTAAATTGAAAATCAAATGTTTCACAATTAATATTGTTTCAGAAAGTCATTTATTGTTATAAAATTAGAACATCTTGTAAATATATGTATATGTCAAGTAAAAACTTATTTTACTGATTTTATGATTGCTAATAATAATCTCATCATCTTTTGAAAATATTTATGCTTGTTGACGTATATAATTTGATTTTGATGGTTTTAATTGAAACTTAGTATTTAAATGTGATGAAGTATAGTAAAAATCTTGATAAATTTTTACCATTTTCAGAATATACTGTTATATGATCTGTTCAGAAAATGAATAACACATTTGGCTGTTCTATAAAGATATACATGAATCTTATGTTTATTAGGGATGGTGCAAAAAGTTACTCTTTAATCCTGTCAGTAATGGTAACTAGTCACAGTACCACATTTACAAAAACAAGTATTTCTAAATGTATTTCCTTTTTTGATCTAATAGCACTTTATATGTGATACAATAATTTTGGATTTAGGCTTGGTCTAATAGCACTTTATATGTGATACAATAATTATGGATTTAGGCTTGGTCTAATAACACTTTATATGTGATATAATAATTTTGGATTTAAGATTGTTTATAAATTCTGAAAGACATTTCAAACATGGTTCTTGCGACTTGATATATATATATTCATGTAAAATGTGTGTTTACGAGGTTTTGGAAGTTTGTTTATGGTTCTTTACACACTAGCCTTTAGATTCCAAAGCAAATGACATATTATTAAGATCTATAATTTTCATAGAAGCTGTTTTATAATTTTTTTGAACCTCCACATTTTACGTATGTTTTACACCATTTTTCATGAATTGGCTCATATTTCTTGTTTGTCATGTTGTATCCATATGAATCACATATCATTTTGAAGCTCTTTTTCAAGAAATATAACATTATAAATGTTGTGTCAGTGTAGTTAGCTGTTGACATTAGATCTCATGTGCAATGGGTAGCTGTTTGATTCATCACATAATTGCTCTTAAGAATTTTTTCAGACTAACTACAGGCTTACAAAATTTTTCATAGTGTGTACTTGTCTTGTGAATTACCATATTGTTCATTAGTGTTATAGTATGCATATTTGAATGCTGTATTTATTTTCATAAATGAATAAGTGTTCAGAGCTGACTCACATCAAAGTATTAGGCTTAGTTGGCAGTATAGTTTCCAAGTAAGGTATGATTCTTACTTGGACAATTTAAATTTGACCCTTCAAGTTCACCAAAGGTAAGTATGTACATTTTGTTCTATAGTTTAGATTATGTTGTAGCTAATTTACTTTCCCAACACATTAAAATATTTAAAAAAATATGAATGTCAGATCAGTTCTAATTATTTGAATATGTAAAAATGAAAATCTTCAGCAATAATAGAAACAAAATAATTGGGTATTTGTTAACTTTCAACAGAATATTATAGTAATATGTCAGTGATTTATATAAAAAGACAACAATGACATATGATGATTTTTTTAACAAAAACTTGCACACAAAAGTTGTAGTTTTACCATAACAAAGCTGTTATAAATAAAAGGAAAAAAACTAGGAGGAAAGTATTTTTGTTGACATGAAAGTACTATTTTACAAAAACTGTCATGAAATTTAAAAAACAAAAAAGTAACAGATTAAAATTCAGATTTTTTCATGACAGTAGCCTATACGTATTTAAAAATTGTGTGCCAAAGTGACAGTCAGATCCCACTATTTAGTTAGACAATAGTCGCCCAAGAGGGTGCTTTTGATAAGTTATATTCTCTGGTCAGTTCAAAATTAGAAATGTTTATGTGAAGATACTCCTTGCATAACTTTTGATGAAAATTTTAAAACAAACAAACAATCAATGCTCAAAATACAAAATTCAGGACTATTAGAACAAACATTATTTTTCCACTTAGGATAGAAAATCTTTAATTTGATATAATTGTAAATTGACATCTTTTTATAGATTTCTTTTTAGTTAAATTTTCATCATGTTATTACTGATGGGCGTGGCCAAGTTCTGAGAATTTGTGTATTAGAAAAATTATCATTATAGTGATTCACATTTACTGTGTGTCTATACTGTTTATAAATTCATCCATCCACCAGAGGCAGTGTTGCAAATGGTTAACTGAAATACTTGAATTCACTAGTTTATTTTTCTCCCTTTTTTGCTTTTAGCTTTAAACATGTATTTCAGTAGCCATATATGATGTAATACTATATATTACTATTGATTTTTGGGCTCTGTTATAGGTTTCAACTGAGTCAGGACAACCAGTTGAATGGACACAAGAAGAAAATTACATGTTTAGACTTTCAAAGTTAGAGCAAGATATTCTTCACTGGCTGAATTCTGGAGGCAAGTTCTGATTTTCAAAATGTATACCAAAAATATAGCTTAAATTATTCAGTACTGTTCAAGTAAGCCTATGAATGATCTATAAAATTACATTAAATAAGAAGTAAAAAAAAAGATTAACTTTTCAAACTTCTTAATAAAGGTTTTAATTTACATTTTCAAAACTAGGAAGATAAGAAAGTCATTTAGGTTTAGTCATTTGTTTTTCTTTAGCTTCTTTTTCCTAGGCAATTTAATTAAAAAATCTGATCTAAAATGTGGAGACTCAGTGCTCAAAATTCCTATATAGTTGTGAAACACATTTGAAATTTTTTCAAGCCCCATTATCACTGTTCAGAGTAACATTTGAGAAAAGTAGATATTTTAAGCTTTGAATTGTATTATATTATTTTACAAAAAATAAAAAATTGGAATCATGAACTACTAGAGAACACCTGGCATGTTGAACTTTGTTAAGTATTAACAACCAGAAAATTCTATCACCAATATATATTTTTTTCTAATTGAATGATTGAAATTTTTTCTTCTGAATGCTGGACTGGTAAACTTTCAAGCAGTGGTTTGTTTTTGGTTCTTTTTCAGTTATGAAGTGGTCATTAATTCCTAAGGATATTTGTTATGGTTGAGTTTGTAAATTCAAAGATTTAACTATGGTATGTTGCTATCATGTGCACATATCATATTTCTTTTACGATAATGTGCAGTGGTTTCTATAATGCCACGCGTTCTTGTGCTAAAGGAAATAGTACTTATATTTGTTGTTGATATTTTTTGCTGTTTTATTTTCAAATTTTGTTATTCTTTCCATGAAAATGCTACTTGCTGATGACAAGTAAAGGTTTTTAGTGGGATAACAAACTGAAAGAGCTGTTAAGGTATAAGAAACTAAACAGGCACAGAAATAACTGACAGCTCATGTTGGTGTATCTGGATCTATATTAGTAAGGTTGAAGGTCACTTAAGCTGCATACTGACAGTTCTTTGTAAAGCATGGAAATTAGGAATTAGTCTTCCACTGTCCATGGACTCAGTATGGACTTCAGGATATCAAATGGAGTAATTATCAGTGATCCAACAACAAGAAACACATTTTTTTGTATTTGGTGTTAGGTCAATAAAGATCTGCATTAATCTCTTCATTATTTGCATAACATCACACAGTTTGTTTGGACTTTCATCAAGATAATACAACGGAGAACACCACCACCTTAAACAAGTGAACTTTTTACCGATGAGTCACTTTCGCTTGTTTACAAGTGATAAATGGGTTTGTGGCTGGAATTAAACAATGTTCATTTTGCTTCATCATTGAATATTGCCATTTTGATGATAGTTCAGAAATTGTGTGAGAAGGTTCCAGTGTAAATGGAAGTAAAGATCATACTAATCTACTAAGATACCTGTTTACTGCTGGATGATAAAGGATGGGGTATTGAACTATTTTCACATCTACAAGCTCTTGAAGTTATTGTCAGACCAGACTTTGCCAAAACTTTGATGGACAACTTTCACAGAAAAAACATAGATGTCATGAATTTGTCAGTGGGAAGTCCTGACCTAAATTCAAGAGAACACATCTAAGACTTCCACAGACACAGTAAATGTCAATGTTTTAATGTATCTCAACATCAGAGAGCTAGCTCATGTATGGGACAGAATATCCACTAAATAATTATAAGTATCCTCTGTATATGCAAAAACTATATCAATACTAAGATGGCCCATACTCATTACTATTTGGCAAATGTAACTCTTAGGTAAACTGATTAAGTCATATTCTAATGCTCATTATTTTGAATATTTGGATACTTGTGATCTGTGGCTTCTAACTAGCAATAAGTGTTTAGTTAAACTGACTCATTTATGTACTCCACTTATTAGTTTTGCTGTTCATTAGGATGAGCTATAAAAATCTTACCCATTTAAGTTTTTAAAATAGTTAATGTAAAAGTTATTTTTATATTTTATTAACTTACTGTTCATGATTGAAACATGAACAATTGAGATATTAACTAGGGTTAAGTTAAATTAGAATTATTGAGCATTTTCTGTGTAGGGAGTTTCCTCACTAAAATTCAGATTACTGTAACAATCTGATATTAAGCATTTGGGAAAATAGCAGAAATACATGGAGAGCTTTGGGAACCGATTATAGTGTAACATACTACACTTAAATGATCTGAATATGATGTAAAAGTAAAATGAATGTGTGGTTTTGTTGACTTGCAATTATGAAATAATAATATTGACTTTATAACACATTAGATGTCTTTTGATATAAGGTATTGAAAAAAAATGTTCATTACTGTTTTAGGAAGGTTGCACTCATGGTTCAAGTAAGTTTTTTTTTTCAACAATTATTATTATAGAAGCAGTCTTATCTGACCATAAAAGAAACATATATTTCACGTTGGACAAATGTAAAATAGAATAATATATTAATCTGTATTTTTCTTATTTGTTTTCTGCATTGTTAATTTTGATAGAAATTAAGTCGTATTGTTCCCTTACCCAGCTATGAATGCCTGATGATGATTATTTTTGAAGGATTTATTTGATGTGTGCAGATTTCTTTTGGAATGAAAGAGTTAGTACAGATTTGTTGTATATTTAATACTTATATTTTCCTCAGCATACACTGTTACTCAGTTTTGTATCTTTATCTGATATTATTTAAATTTTAGCTGCTATTAACAGTTTAGTTAGGAAATTGTGACCTTTATACTTGTGGTGATTTATTATTTGTGCTAATTATTTGTGTTTGTCTTTTTTAAAACTTTCTTATGTACCTATCAGTGTTAAAAATAGCACTGTTGTATGCATAGGTTCATTACTTCTCTTTTACTTTGTTGTGGCATTGAACAAAATAAAACTTTTTTATTCTAGCATGAAATGACCAGTCAAAGTAGAAGGTTTCTTGTGAAGAAGTAATGAAAGTGTAACTTTGACCAAAATAATGTGTATATTTTTTCTGAAGTTTGTGGCCATTAAATCAAATCAGGTTTCTCATTATTTATAGTAATGACTAGTTGCATATGTTTCATTAATATTTAAATTTTAGAATCTGAACAGTATAACTTACTGTTTTTAAATATGTTGAAATTACAATGGAAATTTTGATTGTACTCGTATTTTGTAAGATTAAGATTTTAACACATAGATATTCAAATACCAAACACTAACCTCTGAGGTTAATAGATGGCTCAATATCTGTTTTCTGCCTTAGCCATTCTATTCTTCTACTATAGTATCTTCGAAGTTCACAATTTCATTAGTTTTATTGTTTTAGACATTGAACTACTAGCTTATTTTTACTGTTGCTATGCAGCTATATTTCAAACTCAGCGAATAGTTTGCTCTGATGTTTTTGGTTGTTACTAGATAATACAGAAAACTGAGTTGAGTATGAACTTTGTGATGCATTTAATGTTTTAAAATGAAAAGTTGTATTCTTTAGACTGTTATGGAATCGGACATGGAGTTATACACATAGAGATTGATCCATTTAAGATTCAAAATGATAGGAAATGTCTGCAAAGATGATAATATAGAAAAGGAAGTAGATAGGTTAATACTTATACTGTATTTGGGATCAAGGGAAGACCTTGTGCTTTTATGTGGGGATTATATAATCAGGTGTAACATCCCTACAAAATACACAAACTAAGGTATACAAAGATATTAGTTGAAGTACTCAAAACTATTATTCATGATGACAGTAAAGCCATTTGTTTTGTTTTTAAATGGAGTACAATACAGTTCATTTTTAATCTTTTAACAGTCTTCGAAATTTTCAGTACCAAAGGTAAAAAACAAAATGAATAGTAACTTTGGATACTTCTATAATGCTAATTGTACTATAAGAATTTTGGTGAACAATATACAAATATTGCTTATCTTGCTTAGAACCAAATAAAAAAAGGTTAAGCTTAAATTTATTGTAACATGGAGTTAAACCTTTTGTAGGTATCTTGCAGAACTACTATAGATTTAACAGAACTTCTGTTTAATGACTATAGACTTTTCACACAGATTATATTACGAAAAGTATTTTGGGCCCTGTCTCCAGTAGTGTGGCTCGGTGGTTAACATGGCAGACTTTACATTTTTGAGTCCATTGTTCATGTTCCACTACCACAAAAAATAAAAAGAATTACACTCTGCACTTTGGGGCTGTGGGTTCTTATAAGGGTGGCAGTCATATCCCACTATTTAGTCACACAAGAGCAACCCACGAGTTCAGAGATGAATGCTGTTGACTAGCTGCCTTCCCTCAGAACTGTCAGTTCAACATTAAGGATGACTAGTGAGATAGCCATTGGGCAACTCTGCAAAAATATCCAAAACAAACAAATACAGTGGTATCTCTTACTAATACTTTCCACTGAATATGATTTGTATATAATAAATCCCATTTTATTTTACAAAACAGCTCCATGTGCAATGAGACTTCAGTGTGTGTTTTTTGGTGTTTCAGAATTCCCAAGGCTGTTCATCTGAATTCTGAGCTAGCTAAAGCAGATTCCAGGTGTTGTTTATTTCAAACTGCTGTTAATCACAGGATACAGCATGGCATGATGCATTGTTTTTCTGAAAGAGGTGTAACCATCCTATATAGAATTCTATCATTTTGGACAGTGCGGCTTTGTTCAGGATGCTGTAGTTCAAAATCAGCAAAAGAAAGCCTACATCATAATGCTATCCTTCCTTTTGTCAGATTTGAGGTGACATAGTCTTATCCTCAAACCCAGAGCCATCCTTATAAGTCAGTGAATCAGTAGCAGGATTTATCACTTTATTTGATGTTTTTTTTTCCTTTGTCTTTTTTTTTCCCAGTTTTGATGCCTAAGGCATTACATGAGTGACACCATGCACTCACAAATGTGATGAGCAGATTATGGTCTAAAGCTCAATGTGATCAGAACACCATGGATGTGTGTGCCTGAACTCTTGTTAAGAAAGTTAAGGTATTTAGCGATGGGTTTAATTCAAGTTGCATTGTTTTGTTTCATAACATATAAAAGTGTCCATGAAACAAGAAATGGTCAATATTTTACAGTAGCACACCTAGTGGCCTTCCATTTCTTCAGTACATTTTTCCTAGAGGATGTTAACAAAAGTGTATGTAAGTTGGCTGAAATTTTTAGGGTGTTTATACCATTAGCAGTGATCTAACAACCATTTCTTCTTTGAAGGACCATGATGTTACTTCTTTGTGGAAACTTAACTAGTTATATATGACAATGCTAACCTTTATAAATTATATGCAGTAGTACATTATGGGTTGAATCCACATCTAATTAATGAGGATGGGCCCAGTGCTCTTAGAGACATTGTATATACATGTCTTCTGTATAATAACTAGAACAATTCTCATTTCTTCTGTGTAATGTTAATATATGTTTTCACTGCCATCATATACAATGTTTATAAATTGCTTTATATACATTTTATAGAACACTTGTATCTGTTGACTTTTTTACAGATATCTTACACAGTGGCAAAATATATTTTAGATACATCTTATGTAGAATACGCTTCATTGTTATTCCTCTGATGAAATATACTTCTTACATTGAACATAGTGAACATTTAAGCAAGAAATAAAGTTTCTGCTTTTGAAATGTGCATAAATCATACAGAAAAGAAAGAAAACCAAAAAAAAAAATGTGTAGTAGATATGTTATAATGGTAGATATAAAGATTGCTTGATATGCCTGTGTTTGTGTTTTAAATAATATATCATTCATATGTTAAGCTCAAACACTTGGTTGGCTGTAAATGAATTTGTTTTGTTATGAGTACAGAAGTTGTACAAGTCAGAAACATATTTATAACAGCTACAAACATTGTATGAATCATGACTAAGCAAGTTTAAAGGCTGCATAACTCTAAGCAACAAGATGGCTATACAAATATGCAGACTGTAAGATTACTGTTGTCATTTTATATGGTTGTACAAAAGTGCAGGATGGCTATACAAATTTGTCGGCTGTAGATATTATATTGCATATGTAAGCCTATATGATACACTTAAAGTTTAATCTAATTTTCATGAGTTATCACCATAATTTATTTAATTTCACAATGAGACATGTATACCTTGATATTATGTTTTTGATGATGTAATGAAAATAATTTCATTTTACATTATTACTTTTAAAACTGTGTTGTGACTTTATGTCTTAATAAATCAACACAAGAAACGTTACCCAGTTAATCAATCAACACAAGCAACTTTACCCAGTTAATCAATCAACACAAGAAACTTTACCCAGTTAATCAATCAACACAAGCAGCCCTAACAAGTTTGATAACAAATTTTGTAAATTTTAGTGAAACACTTTGTTCCCAACTACATGTTGTTACTACATGGTAGCATCAATATATTTATGACATGCTACTCGATGGTTAGTTATTGATACCAAAATTAAATCTTTCTTTTAATCAAGTGCTAAAAAGAAGTTATTTGATAGATAAGTTATTAAAAGATACATAAGTGTGCCAGAATGTTTTGAACAAGGAAACTAAATTAAAATTATTCTGTGACATTTTAACTCAAATCTAGTAGAAGGTTTAATAATAAAATTGATGATGGTAATCTAATTTAAAGATCATAGCATAAAATTTATTTTTAAATGAAAATATTTCAGATTTTCTGATTAGATTACAGCCTTTTCTTTGCCACCATTTGTAATTATAAAAGGTGTTTTTATGTAGCTATGTTCTAATATTATATAAAAATGTACATACGTGTATACAGAAAATGACAACAGAAGGTATAATTAACTGTAGATCTTTATGATCGTACAGTCTTTTTACAGTTTTATATAAGTTTTCAGCACAATCACAGTTTACATGCAGAAGGTATAATTACCTACGTGCTATGAGTGATCCAGCAATTCTTAATTTCTGCATTCCAAACTTTCTTTAGTATTCGACAGACTGATATAAAAATCAACAATATGAGTGACAAGATAATACCTTTATAATGAAAACTAGTTCTGTAAAATGATGTGGGACATTCAATGTGATTTTTAATCCTCTACATTCAACTCTGATGTTGTCTATGATGTACTATATATGTTTTTTTATGTATTGTAAAATTAAAAGCCTGAAAATGGATAAAACAGGTGTTTGGGCTTCAATTTTTTAAAGAATAAAGTATCGGAAGAATTAATCATACATGAATCTGTTATTAAATAAAAAGTATTTTGATTATGTATACCCTATTCATTAATATAATATTTTATGTTTCATTCTTTGTATAAACATGTTTTTTTTTAGATTTATAATGTCTTGCATTACATAAATTCACAATACAGACTTTAAGTTTAAGAAAAAACATAATATTTCCAAAATGAACAGTTTCATTTTTGATACAATTTACTATTACCATGGGTATGATAAAACATCCTATATAGAAAACTACATATAAAAATTAATTCTCAAGACCCATTTATGAATGTCTTTAATTGTTGTTTACTAAATGATTGTTTTTTATTTTGATTGGTTGAAAATTTTTATGTTTCAGATAAAGTATTGTATCCCAGTAATTTTTGTCAACTGGTCAAACACTGGATATCTGAAGGTTTGCCAGACTTGTCTATTTCCAGAGATAGATTTCGACTTAAGTGGGGTATACCTGTACCCAATGACAACACACAGACGGTTAGTTTCTAGTAACTTCCCAAATTTTAATTAATTTAGATTCAACTTCTGAAAGATTCTAAAAAATGTAATTTTTAGTTACCTGTCAGAGTAGTGATAAAGGCTCATTTTACGTAGACATATGAAGAAACTGAAATAATTTATGTATTGCTCATTTATACAGTCTGTGTTAAAATTATATAAAATTAAGTAACTGATAAATACCTTTTATTAGTAGAATTTTGAAAATGTAATTGCATGGTTTTTTTAAGCAGTTGTGAACATTAATTTTTGTGTAATAACAATAGAAGCTGTGCCTCAGCTGGATATTTTTTATTTCATCAGTGTGAGAAGGAAATAGTTTTCTTAAAGTGACATCTGCTTCTTTACTTGGTGTTATCATCCTTTCACTTCTTGATTGGCATTAATGTGAGAGTTCTGTGTCTTACATATCCTTTCTTCTCCATTTCAGATGTTTGAGATTTTTTTGTTTTTATTTTTGCATAGAAACACATAATTTCTTGTGTAAACAGGCATCTAGGTTGCTCTTCTTGCTAATTTTAAATTTTCGTAAATTTTCTTCAACATGTATTATGCATGAGGATCTTTCCAAATTAGAATGTTTGGCTGTCTAGTTGGAATTATTCATTAAGATTTATTTCCTCCTTTGTTAAGGTGCTTGAAAACCTTAAATTCTTGAAAGTAGTAACTACTAGTAAAGGTGGCCAGTTGATAGAGCACCAGCCATCCCATGAATGAACTCATTCTCTACCTACTATTATAGCAATTACAAAACCTTAAATAAACCTTCTACTTACATTGCCATATAGTCCTTACATGACCATTATTAATATCTTAAGAATTCATATACTGTTGCCAGAAATTCAAGCTATTAGCACTGTTCAAGTTTTGCCACAATATTTTTGTGCTAGACAATTTCCAAGGTTGAGAGAGACTAGTACCGTGTGATATGACAAACTTAAAGTTTTGAAATCACCAAGATTAGCTTTGTTTTTGTCTTTGCAATTAGTTCAGGGGAAGCTTGCCAGCAGAAGTTAATTAAGGTTTCAAGCATCTCAGTTTTTCTTCTGATCATCATTTCCTTTTAATCCTTTGGGTAATGTGTTTTGATGCTCACTACATCTGTTAATAACTTTAGTGTGGCCTAGCATTGACATAAGCAAGGCGGGTTTTTATGATCCACTCAATGACTCTGTGTTCTAGATGGTTTCCAAACGGGTTTTTTTTGGGGGGGGGGGGTTATCTCAGATATTTCTTCATCTGAGGACTCTTGATTTAGTGTGTCTTGGATTCATCAGGTTGCTCACCTTGATTTTCTATTGATCATTTAAGTTTGATTGTTCTTATTTTTATTTGATTTTAGATTTGACTATTTTAATCATTTTCCACAATGAAAGGATAACAGTATTGTCCCCTTAGGATTTATACTCTCATCTGCTTGTTGAGTCACAAATAGAAGGAGATTGGAGACTGCTCCTAGATTTGTTTATATTCCTCATTTCTATGTAGAGCCTATGAAAATCTTGGGAAAGCTCGTTTGTCAAGGTTTTTGGATAGCAGCTGGGGATTACAGACGAAGCTTATTTACACATCTTTATTCACCCACTCTACTACTCTCAGTTATTTTCATTCATGAGTTTTCTTTTTCTTCTATTTCCTCCGGATCTGGATCTTTTCACTGGTGCTAGTTTGATGAGCTGGGGACAATTATCTATAGGGTATGTATTCTTCTCAGATATCTCATTCCTATACCATTCTTTAGAGGTTTGGAATGTTCCACACAAATTTTAGGAGTTCCTGCCTGCCAGCCATGTTATGCCATTGTGTTCTAGTACTCACCGGCACTTCATCAGTGGTGACATATATCTACAAGTTGGGTAGGAATTGATCTCAGATCCTTTGTTTGTAGCAGTGTTTGTATTTTTTGGCTAAATTCACATGATGTCTTTCTCTGAACTGGTATTTTATTGTTTGTGTCAATGGTGCGATTGTCCAGAGCTTGATGTATTAATGACAACAGTGCATTATCTACTGATGCTTTACTGGTTTCTTGTACATCTTTGGGGCCTGCTTAGGTCTTTCTTTGGTTCTTCCTGAGTGCCCACTAATTTAGCTGTTTGTGTGACTCACTCCATTTTCAATATGGATGAAGAGGGACTACTACCTCTAGAATATGCCCTTTCATAACATAAGTCTGGGATACTCCCCCAAGAACCTTCCACTGCAGTAGGACATAGTATTCCTCCTACCTGTTTATGCCACCACCTGTACCCCATTATTGGTTTCACAGATTCAATACATCACTAATATTCTCAAAACCAACCCCTTTGCCTGAATTTAAGGACATCATGGGCAAAGAGGTTCTTTGCTGAGAATGGCTATTTTCTGAGTGTTCTTTAGTTCAAAGCTGGTCTGGTCCACTCACTCTCCCTGGAATCCAGTTCTGCAAATTATTATCTGGTTTTGGATTCTAGGTAATGATTTTACTGTCAGCAGATTTTAATTTTATATATTTATTTTTTTTTATGTTTGTCAGTTACCTTCTTCTTTACAGTGTGGGTATTCCTGCTTTCAGTATCCAAAGTTAAAACATGAACTTGAATTTTTTTAAAATTAGTTTTAAAATCTTGAATTTATTATATTTTTTAACGTTATTGTATGCTGTGCAGTTCACATTTTATTATTATAATTCTTGTATTTGATAAAAAATAAAATATATGATTTGATTTTTTCCTTGTTTATTTTGGTGAACATCTAATGCTTTACACGGATCAGAGAAGAAAACAAGCTCACTCAACACTCAGGCAACCAGTTTATCTGTTTAGATTATGGGATATATCTCATATTATTCTTAGTTTTGTTAATATCACTTTAACATTAATAGTCCATAAATTCTGTGTACCTTGCCTGTAGATTTATTATTATGCTAAGTTTAAGTCACAAAAGAACAATAATAATATGACAGAGTATCTAATTTTTATGAAAATCTCAAATTGAGTGCACTAATGTGTTTATAACAGGTGAGTCATATAGTGAGATAGGGATACAGTTATTATTCTAGTAATCTCTATTATAAAATAATTTATTATTTAATTAAGGATGCTTTGTGAATAACAGGTACCTTTGATATTTAAATCTTTCAAAAGTCAAACACACAAAGAGCATAACCAAACTGTTTCAATGAACAAAACATTTTATTTCATCTATTTAATTACAAAAAGTAATTTATTCTTATATAGATAGTTAATATAATTATTTCTTAATTAATTATTTGAATATTTAAGTAGCTGATATATGAAGAATATGAAAAAAAAATTATTTAAATTTCAATGTCTTTACAAGATTTTTCACATTTTTAGATTTACGTTTGGTTGGACGCTCTTCTCAACTACCTTACTGTAGCAGGATACCCAATCCCTGGTTATTGTTGGCCTCCAGACTGTCATGTCATTGGCAAAGATATATTGAGGTATAGATTTCAAGTTAAGGAAACATTTTTTGTGCTCTCTAATTTTAAATCCAGGGAAAAATAGCCATCAATGATTATGATATGTAATCCATACAAAACTCTGCATCAGTGATATTTATATATCAACTGGACCATGATATTCCATATGTACCATGTTAACTATGTTTGGTTTACACTGATTTTTAGTAACATTCGCTTCTACTTTATATAGTCTTACATTTGTCATAGACAACATGCATATCCTTAGCAATCACTGTTAAATTGCCATGGAGAATTAATATGTGACAGATTTATTTGGAGGCTTATATACATGTATATAGAGATGTATACTTAATAATTTGAAACAGAAACTTTTTCTGTAACTTCATCAAAATCATTATTAACTTGCCAAATAATTTTTATTTTCATGAATATTTTGCCTTTTTTTTAAGTTGAATAAATTTTTTCATAAGTAAAATATAAAATAAAAATTTATGTCCTTATTTCACTGAAATTCATGTGATATTTATAGAATTATTTGTTCAGATCTTTATAAGTGGATTTACTTCTTTCCAATTGGAAACAACAAAGTGGATTTTTTTTTGGCATTGTAAATGGTTTGTTAAAAAAACTTGTATGGTATGATATTTTAGGTGTTTTTTAAATATTAAATATGTCTGTTCAAATATGATGAATTTTGCTGTTTCATTATTGTGTAAAAAATAAGGTTAACTAAAATTATTTGCTTCAATTTCAAAGTTCATAAATTGTAATACTTCTGATATAAGTAAGAAATTTTCAGGTTTCATGCCCTATATTGGCCAGCCTTCTTGATAGCAGCTGGTTTAGAGCCACCTCGTCATATCTTCTGCCACTCACACTGGACTGTGGAGAATGAAAAGGTAATTGAATTTTTTTTAGTAAATTGTGTAAGTATTCCCAATGTTAAAGCTGTCTCTCCAAATTGTTAGAAAATTAAACATATCCAATTCACACGGAGTGTTGCTTTGCAAGTAACAAATAGCCAAATTTTTCACAGTAAGAGTTATACTTTGACACAATATTTTTGAAAGAAGCTATGATAATTATTTCATTCTTTAATTATAAGATGAAAATCTGTTCCAGATTTGATATACATATATATTTGTTTTGTATCTCACAGATGTCAAAAAGTAAAGGAAATGTAGTTAGTCCCATAGATAGCATGAAGCATTACACAAATGATGGGCTGAGGTATTTTCTATTACGAGAAGCTGTGCCGTATAACGATGCTAGTAAGCAGAATTGTTTACTTTTTTTATTCTTTCTGTTGCATGTTTATGCTGTTTAGAGGTGTACATGTGATCGCAAGAATTTAACATTTTGAAAAAAAATATATCAAAATGGTATTTTCTGTGATAGTTTTATTTCCTGCTTCAGTTATTTACAAAAATTTAGTGAAGTAAATGTGTAAGCAGATTTTTTTGTTTACCTTTTTTTTTAATGCAAATCAACTATCTAACTCTGTCACTTCCATAGGCACATATATGGGCCACGCTATTTAAACTTAATTTTAGCTCTGAAAACTATGGAATTGTCAGGATTTTATAGGGCTGCAGTTGTTTACAGTAGGTGCCTGTGACTTGTTGGTGATAAATTTTAACAATAAATGGACAACACACAATCCACTTGTATTTAAATAATATATTCAAAATAAGTCAAACGTATATACAAATGTTTGTTACACAGTTAATCAACACATTTGTATCCAGAGCTTTAAACGATTGTCTCTTTTCATCAAGAGTCCACACAGATTGGTTCAGTTACTTTAGAACCCAATTGACAAGATGAATTATTCTTCTCCACTCTGTTATTACAATACAATAATTACACTTTAAAAGTTGCCACTATACACTCTTTATAGCTAAACTCACAAACACAGTCTACATCTATTTGACTATGTCTCTCACTAAGTTTGTCTTTCATTAACTTAACTTCCTCTCGGTATCTGCACGTATTTATAACACGTGACAAAAACTAACAAGAAATATCTAGCTCTCTAGTAACAACAATATTAAACATAACAAGAAAAACTTAGAAGATTTGAATAAGATGATGTCAACAATATTACAAAAGCCTACTACAACAATTGCATACAAAACATATGAATCGTACCAAGTTAAGTAACGAAACTTGTCATAATATTATCACTTTTAAAATAATCAACTTTTAACACTCTTGTTATGAAAACTAAATAATCATTAAATCTTAAATCACTAAACAAACTAAATAATAACTCTTAAACTGAACAGTTTTGTATATCCAACAGGAATCAATATGTGAGTTTGGAATATTGTACAACCTTTAAACTTACCAACATTTATCATTTCAAGGTTCTGATAAGTAATGAAATATTAATTTTTTTTTTGTGTATTGGAAAATAGACGTATTATTGGGTGAGTTACGTATCTATGAACATGGCAATGAATAAGTTAACATGAAAGGCAAGCTAAGAGTGGCTTAAAGCTGTAATATGTTATACTGTGTTGAAGCTTCATATTATAAGTGAAAACAATGAAACATTTTATAACATGTTTTTCAGAGTTTTCTGTCATTTAGTAGGACTGATGATTTGAATTTTTCTGCAGATTACAATGAAGTTAAGCTTAAAAGGATTTTGAATTCAGAACTTGCAGACACTTTAGGCAACCTTCTCAGTCGATGTAGTGCCCCATCTGTTAATAAAGAACAGGTGTTTCCAGTTTTTGATTATCAGGTTTGGGACCAATGTGTAGCTACTGAGGGGAAAGAAATAGTGGAATCTGTCTGTAGTCTCCCAGGTAAGTATTGTACAAATCATTCTCTTAAAAAGTTTTGGGTTCCAAATATTTTTGTTAAAAGGTTGTGCATGGTTTTCATATTTTACAGAATTTTTCAAATTACTCATTCCTTTCAGTTTTGGCATTGTGTTGCAAACTAATTAGTCAGGTGGGCCAAATATTACTTTTTTTTTAATAAATATTGTGTAGTTATTTTTTTAGTATGTGCTTCCTTTACTTTAGCCAGAAGTTTAAGAAATTTCTTCATAAACATTTCAATTTTTTAATAAGTGCTAAAGCTTAGTTTGTAGAAATTCCAATTAGTTACATTGTAAAAAGTAAATATTGAAAACTTTTTTCACTGTAGATGCTTTAATTAGTTAGAGTTGCTCTGAAGAATGTTACATTTAAATCCTCTAGAGGTAACATTATTGTAAATATGAAATATTTGATTTATTGACAGAGGTTTCAGTTTGATATATATATATATATAAAGATAATGAAGAAATTTCTAAAGCAAGTACTTTATTATTTTAGAAACTGTTAAAGATCATTTCTTGGAAGGAAATTTTCATCACGGAGTTGATGTAATCATGAACTGTGCACGCCAAGCTAATCTATTCATCCAAAACCAAAAACCATGGGAACTGGCAAAATCTGATGCTGAAAAGTCACGTCTGAATACTGTTCTCTATGTTGCTATGGAAACCCTCAGAGTGTGTGGTATGTTATTGCAGCCTGTAGTGCCCTGTTTGTCAGATCAAATTCTTAGAAAACTTGGAGTGACCATTCAGGAAAGAAACTGGCATGATTTGACCTGTTTTTCATCCATTTTTGGTAATAAGGATAATTTTGAAGGAAGACCTCTCCAAAAAGAGAAAACTATTTTATTTACAAGAATAAAATGACCAAATAGATACATTAAACTATATTGTCATTTAAATATAAGCTGTAGATAATTTTATAAGAAGCTACTTGTATGAACATTTTGATATACTTCAATGAACAGCTTATAAATCACACACTGTAATTTATGTCTGAAAAACCAATATAAGATATTTTAAAGAGTAAGTTCTATGTGATGACGTTTCTTTCTTCAGAGGGATTCAAGATTTAGCAAATGTATCTTTACTACAATATTCATCATGATATTGGTAATGAAAATTAATGTAATTGTTACATCTTATGACTTAACAGAAAAATAACTGTAAAAGCTTTACATAAACATGTCTAAGGGTAAAGAAAAACAAAAACTGGTCAAACTGACCTTATTGTAACTAAGAGCCTAGGATTTACAATGAAAACCAAGTTGAGTCAAAACATGTCTTGCTTATTACAGGCTTTTACAGACTCTCGCTATGAGGTCAATTGAATTGACTGATCTCATAACCATTTTGTACTCCTCCATTCAAGCACTTTTCAAGGACTTTCTAAGCACTCTCAGAATGTTTTTCAAGCACTTTTTGGAAACTAAAATCTACATCAAAATCAATTCGATTCTACTGAAATTTTATAAAATTCCTATTTATTTGTTCAACATATGAATGTAGACTAAAAAGAAAAGAAAGACATTATTTATTTCACTCAAC